AGAATTGTGGTTGAACTTCTTTGTTGAAGCTCTTGTTGGCACCATAAATTGGTTTTGCTTCACACTATCTTGATCTAGAGTGTGAAGCTTTTGAGAATTGTGGTTGCCTTCCATTGATGAAGCTCTTGTTGGCACCATAAATTGGTTTTGCTTCACACTGTCTTGATCAAGAGTGTGTGAAGCTTTTGAGAATTGTAGTTGCCCTCCATTTGTTGAAGTTTTTGTGGTGAAGCTTTTGTGTTGAAGCTTTGTAGGTGAAGCTTTGAGGTTGAAGTTTTGTTGGGTACCATGAATTGATTTTGCTTCACACTATCTTGATCAAGAGTGAAGCTTTTGAGAATTGTAGTTGACCTTCATTTGTTGAAGTTGTTGAAATTTAAAATTTGAAAACTAGAAATTTGAAAATGTGGGAGAGACAACATATACAAATTTTGCTTCCACACTGAAAATGTGGGAGAGACAACATATACAAATTTTGCTTCCACACTGTTGAGTAAGAGATTGTGATGCAAGCCACACCTTGTAGTAGTTGAAGGTTGGATGAACCATATAAATTGAATTTGCTTCGAACAGTCTTGATCAAGAGTGTGTGAAGCTTTCTACGAGTTGTAGTGTTTGCATTGTTGCAGAGGAGAAATGTCTGAAGCAGATGTAAGAGGGCTAAAGAGCTTGATCTTCGTATACCATGCACTGAAGCCATTGATGGCTTGCAATAAGACTTTGTTAGTGACTATAACTCTTGTTAGGCATAAGTGCTCCCGTAGTTGAGTTGTAAAGCTTGAGAGTTTTTTATTGTTTGTGAATGCTAGGAGTTTATATGTACAAGTTGTACCACTCGTCTTCTGGTTGGTGGAATGAATGATGAGTTGCTTTAATCACTTGGTTGGTGGTACGAAGATGAGTTCCTTCATCACTTTTCATCACATTTCATCACCTGGTTGGTGGCACGAAGATGAGTTCCTTCTTTACCTGGTTGGTGGCATGAGTGGCAAGTTGCCAAATGATATTAGAGTACGGGTTGTACATTTCATCACCTGGTTGGTGGCATGAAGGAGAGTACAGGTTGTACATTTCATCACCTGGTTGGTGGTACGAAGATGAGTTCCTTCTTCACCTGGTTGGTGGCATGAGTGGCAAGTTGCCAAATGATATTAGAGTACGGGTTGTACATTTCATCACCTGATTGGTGGCATGAAGGTGAGTTCTTTCTTCACCTGGTTCGTGGCATAAGTGGCAAGTTGCCAAATGATATTAAAGTACGGGTTGTACATTTCATCATCTGGTTGGTAGCATGAAGGAGAGGACGGGTTGTACATTTCATCACCTGGTTGGTGAGAATAAGGGCAGGGTGTCGAGGCACATTGTAGTAAGTGTCGAATGACACAAAGTATGTTGAACCATTTCGATGCATATTTGGCTTATGTATGGATGTGTTGGAATGTATGATGTTTATGTATAAATGTGTTGGAATGTATGATGTTTATGCTGATTAACATGAGTGATGCTTATGAATGTTTTGCTATGCATGAATGGATCCATGCTTTCGATATGTGAACCATGTTGGTTGTAACACTTAGTATCATATACTTTGTGTCAAAGTACGCATGTTGAAGCTTTGAGTTGGAATATAGGGGTAGGTCAGCGTAGACCAAGTGTTCCAGTGCTAGGAATGCAAAAGACTCAGAAGAAGTTGTCTGAATTCCCTATTCTTTAAATATTTTCCGAATGGCTTGTGTGACAAAAGATCTCAAGCGGTTGAGAGTCAAAACATTTGTAATGTGTATGCCTTCTTATAATAGCATTTCCTTCAGTACTTAGTCTTCCACTTTGAAAGAGTAAGGCTTGGCCCTATAGTCATAATAGTCGACGGTACGTTCACCCCTGGTTGTCTTGACACGAACTTTTATCTCTCTTGTTGTAATGGGTTTGCTGAGAGTAAAAATCCTTTCTCTTACCAAGAGACAAATACGTTTGGTGACTTAGCGAGTAGCTAAATGAGGCAGAAGATGATACAATGAGTGTTTGAATGGCCAAGATCTCCTCACTTGGTAGAACTTGACTTCCACTTCCCACTTGTTGATAGGGGTTAACCATATGGGGGTTCCCTTGGTATGTCATTGCTTCAGCGGAGGCGTGGTTGTGAGCCTGTGCCATCACCTCAGAGTAAGTCTTCCAAGTGTTGGCATTGATCACGTACTTGAAGAAACAATCGCGTAGGCATGCCGTGAAGGCTTTGAGGGCGGTCTTGTCATCTGCCTCAACGCAGCGAAAATACTCATGGCTGAAGCGACCGGCATACTCTCGTAGTGACTTGTCCGGTTTCTAGCGAATAGTGTACAAGTCATCTGCAGAATGTAAGCGATCGGTCTGGAAGATGTGTTGAAAGACAAACAGTTTCCTTAGTTCCTCAAATGAGTCTACTGTCTCGGGTGGAAGACGACAATACCAGTTTAGAGCTTCGTTAGAGAGGGTGGAAGGGAAGAGAAGACATCGCTCTTTGTCGATGTGCATCTAATATGCCATGGTGGACTCAAAGAGGTTAAAATGTTCAATCGGGTCCTCCCTTCCAGTATAGAGTTGTAAACCAAGCTTTTGTTTTGTCTTCGCTTGAATGGGGTGTCGAGGATCCTCTTTGTGAGAGGGTCAGGCCTGGGTTGGTTCCAGTCAGGTATCTCGGCCTGACGTTCAGCCTTCAACTTGTTTACTTCCTCAAGGAGCTGTAGGACAAGGGGGTCTTGAGTAGAGTCATGTACCACTGGAATTTTCTTATGTAAATCTTCATCGTCTCTCGAAAGTAGGAAAGTTTGAGCAAGAGCGGGTGATTTTTCCTTGGATTCGCCGTACTGACTTCTAAGGCGAGTCTGTCGGAATACCTCTGAGTCCTTTGTACCTTCATGTTCCTCTAGGACCTGTCGTTCCTTCCTTAGATGGGCAGCTGGCATGGGTCGTGGGAGGGGACTGAGTTTTTCAGAAACCCTTGGGTCATTGATCTTCAAGCTTATGTGGAGGGGATTCTCTCGACGTTGCTTTAGGAAGTCTCGGCAATCACGATAAACGACTTTCGATGCTTCCAACCCTTCTGCAAGGAGGTGTCTTCCTCCACTTCTCCTGCTTCGGGTCGAAGCAGCTGGGTTGAGAGAAGTCTCATGTTGATCAATGTTTTGATGATTAGCTCGCTCTTTATTGGGGATACCCATGTCGAATGAAGGTGACCCTCCGTGTTAGAGGGCACCCAGATGATGGTTAATGTCCACATAGGCAACAAGCTCGCGTGTTTGAGTACGTCTAGTTTCGTGGAACGTCTCGAAGAGCTTCTCATATTGTTCTTGGAGGATCTCATTCTTTATTGTTATCTTGTTGTTCTGAGCCTCCAGCTCATCGACTTTAGCTTGAAGAGCGAGCTTCTTTCCTTCTTTCTTTCGTTGCTTCGCACTAGGTGCAAGAGGGGTGTCATTCTGTGTGTCATGGCTTCATTCGCTCCCCATGTTGGAGAGGGATGCCTGGTCAAAAGAGAGTGTACGAATGGTGGAAACCAGCTTGACAAAGCTGAAAAGAGTGGGAATAAGTGTCGTTCCCACAGACGGTGCCAATTGTTAATGCACAAAATCAGCGAGGACTTTGATACAACAGAAAGTGTCAAGTTTGTGACCTTTGCTAGATTGCTCTGGTCATTAGTGTGGATAAGTATGTAAATGGATAAAGACAGGGAAGCAAACATAAGATGTACGTGGTTCACCTAGATTGGCTACGTCTACGGAGTATATGAGTACTCATTAATTGTGAAGGGTTTACACAAGTACATAGGTTTAAGCTCTCCTTTAGTGAGTACTAGTGAATGATTTAGTCCAAATGACATTAGGGATTATTGTGGGAGAATGATGTCCTTTTATAGAAGAGAGTTTCTAACTTTGTTCTGGTCTTGACACGTGTCATGCTGTGATTGACCTTTGATGTTGACATGTGTCGCCTTGTGATTGGCCTCTTGGTGTTGACACGTGTCGTACTGTGATTGGCCTCTTGGTAGGTAAACTCTTGTGGATCCTTGACGGTATAACGTTGACCGGTGCTCAGTAATTTCGGGATTGGTCAAGTATGGTACAAACATAGTCTTCATTTAATTGCTTATGATACTATGCATGCATGCTTTGAATTATTAATCACTGTGTTTAAACTATCTCTATATCTTAATGCTTAGCTACCATTAGGATATTTAGATAAGTAATTCGATGCAATTTGGTCGGAATGCCACCGGAGGATTGAGTATTGCTTCTTGTGATTGATAGTTGTAATTTCACCTAGGGCGAATGTCACGTCTTAGGGGTTGCATGGTTTTTCAAAAGGTTTTCACAAAGCGTAATGAGTCATGCATGTTTATATTTGATATGAATGCCACAGACAGATTGCATGTTTGATGTACATTCTAGCTTGAATGCCACCAGTAGAATATGCATAAGGAAAACCTAACTTTCAAAGTTGCATGTGTAATTCATAAGTAATTAGTAAAACAACATAAGATTGTTAAGAGGACGGCAGAACCCTAGTGTTCTTTTATTATTATTTTCTAAGATTGTTCCCATTGGTTTCTTTTTTCTTTAATTGTTTTAATTTAAAATTCATTTTTAATAGTTTAGGTCATAAAATCAACATTTTCCAAACTTTGTTTTCAATTAATTAATTCAGATTTGGTGTTTACATAAATTATTCATTCAATTCCTGCAGAAAACGACCTTACTTGAGCTGTTATACTACGATAACCTTGTACTCTTGCAAATATTTTAAAGTGTTTTTATCCTTATTTTTGTTGGTAAAATCCCCTTCAATAACAATGCAGAGAGAATATTGGGACAATTAACTTTCTGTGTCACGTACATTTGTATATGGAATTAAACATCACAGTATTATATATACATAGATCGGAGAGAAAAACTTAGATCTTGACATTTCTGTGATGTTATTGGAATACAAAGCTGTATATAAAAAAGAAAGTAAAACGCTGAGGCTGAAACATTTTCCCACAGAATGTTACAAGGACGTTTTTATTGGCAAATTTCTCTTACATATCGGATCGATACATTTTATGCCTGTTCCTTTTTCTACTTCCCACCTTTACTCAACTAAATATTGAGAAAGATCTACGTAGAAACACGGAACTTTCGCATGCATCCTAAGCAAGATAGAAAACATTCAAAATGACAGGGAAGGTACAACTTACGAATATTTAATACTTGACAATATGAGCCTCTTAATATGTGATCAAGTGATTCATCTTCGCTTGTCAATGAGAGGTTTTATTTAGTTCAAATCTTGACAATATGAAAAGCAGATTGTCGCTGGCTACATCACCCATATTGACAATATATATCTGGTTCAAGTCTCAAGACTTATAGGTTGTTTCCTGTTGCTTGATTCTTTCTCTTTCATTCGAATGTGAAAACCTTCCGGAAATTGTAGACCGGGAGTTCGGACTATATTTCCTCCTCTAATTGCTTCCCACCTGACAGTTTTGAATGCAAATAAATGTGAATTTTACGACTCGATCTCTTTTCTTACAATCATTGAAGGAATACGTACTCTTATTAATTTTACCTGTACTTTGTAACTAAGCAATGGAGAAACACAGCCATATGCACCTTAGCAGAGTCCGCTCCTGCGCAGAATCTCATGCCCCCACCAAAGGCCATGAAATTTCTGGATGCGGTGTGTATTTGCATTCCCTGTATAATTAGTACAACTTAGGACTAAGAATTAATGGTAAGAAGCTTTCTCTTTCTTATTATTTTGTTTGTCCAAGATTAACTAGAACAAAACATTCTCAGATATTGAACCCACCTCCCATCTCCATGGATTGAATGCCAAAGGATCATCATATGTTTCTGGGTTCATGTGAACCGCTGGGGGACAAACCATAACTCCCCAACCAGCTGGAATAGTATACCCTACAACAACAACAACAGGTAAAATATGTTAAATAAGAATGATTTCCTATAAAATCTCCCTCAGTATACCCCACCACAATAAGGATTGTGATTTATATCCCCCTAGGTGCATGTAACTTTTAATAAAATCTCACTCATACCGTCGAGGTTTCCTTAGAAAAATGATTTCCTATACAAATACATATGATTGTCACATGTAAGAAGCCTCACATTTAGGCAGTTTTGCCGAGACTATTATTTTGGTATTTCAGTTCAATATATTTTCAACTGTATTTTTTAGATAAGAAGGAATGACTCATTAGTTGTAAGGGAAGGAAAGCAATACTTTAATTATTCCTACATACCCTTGTAATTTATATCTGTTGCTGCTTTTCGAAAGATGCCTGGAACTATATTTGCCAGCCTAATCGTTTCGTTAATGGACTGCAAATTGGAATTGTCAGTTTGTAAAAAAACCACAGTTACTTTCTGTCCTTTGAAGCTCCAAAAGTGAAAGGGTCTTGACTCACCTGTAATGTAAATGTCATTGATTTATATTCTTTCCATGTAAGTCCTGAATCTGAATTTTCCCTTTGTTTTAAAATCATTTCATGTTCTTCCTGTAATAAGGTAGAAATGTTAACAACGGTCCTAAATATCCTCTTTTATGTTGGTATAAACTATCTGAAATAGTTTGAAAGATCAGACCGTCAATTGCTCAAGCGCCCGAGGATGGTCTGAAAGAAGCTTGACGGCAAGAGTTATAGCAGTTGAGGTTGTTTCAAAGCTTGCAAAAAGCAGCAAAAAAATCAAATCTAGAGAAATTTCGTCTGTCATGAGCGTCCCCTCTTTGTCAGACTCTTCGATCAAGTAATCGAAAAAGTCGATGGGCTGCTGTCGGGACTTTCCTCGTCTTTCCTGCAGCAAGTTTTGCAGCACCCTCATTGCCCGTTTTCTTCCCTGAGAAATTGTTGAAGATGATCAAACCAAGAATTAAAAGGAAGAAATGAATTCTATATATATATATACGAATTATACTAGTGTTGCAGAATTATATTTACCTGTAAACATTTGTGATAAGCTGTTCCGGGGATGCCTAAAGGAAAGGAAATCAATCCCCGAATGAACTCATCGAAGTTTTCCCTGAGATTATCCGAAGATGTTTTTGAATCATAACTAATGAGTTTCTTTGCATTCAGATCAAATATCAACTGAAAAAAAAAAAAAAAAACCAAATATGCTTATCAGACTTAAAACAAGTACGAAATATAAAAGAAGAAAGGTTAGCCCGATAACGAAATTACATTAGCACATTCGTCTTTCAATTCTGTAATGTCCTGACACGACCATTGCTGCAATTTTTTCTCCATTTCCTGTTCGATTTCAGGGAGCATCCTTTTTAGGCTTTCAGGGCCAACAAGATCAAACACCATGTTCTTGACATATTTGTGAATGTAACCGTACAGGGTACCCATGTTTTCCTTGCCCATAACTTCTTTGAAGGTGTCTGGATACCAGCTTAGAAACAACTTATCATCTTGTTGGAAGATATAGTGATTGAAATCTGGGTCTGTTGATACTATGAGTTGTCTTCCCACCAAACTAGTTTTGAATATTGGCCCATATCTACGCATTAAGTGCAATCGTTTAATTAAAATTTTCATGTAAAGATCGTATATTAATCCGTACACCGTTTCCCTTCTGCATACCCCCATTTATTTATGTCTATTGTTTCTTTTTTAATTTATTCAGTCCAAAGACTATAATTAAACACGAGTGTGCATGAAGATAAAATGGATGTATGAATATTATTTTCCGTTAAAATCACATTAAAATATTGAGTAAATTTATTTATATCATATAAATATGTGCATTATTATACTTAAAAAATAAATAATTGTATTGGGATACATATATTGCAAAATAAAATGACATATAGATTAAAGTATTAAAACATATTGAAAATATGGGAAATAAGCATATAATGAGTGTTCATCAAAGTATATAACAAGTCTCTTACAATTTATTGAACAAAAATAAAATGCAAAATGAAAGTTGTCGATTTTTTGTCTAAATGAGAGCTGCGACCTAGGCGGGCTAGGCGGACACCTAATTACGTAGGTCTAGGCGCCATTTCTTAATTTTCAAACGTCTAAAGATTATTCGAGCCTGTAGCCAGCAGCTTAGTGTTTAGGCAGGCTTTTTAGAACAGTGAATTATTGTCATAAATCTCACCTTTGCATCCTTTTCTTGATGAAGGGAGGAATATCAGATGAGGTTGTGGGAGTGAAAAACTGCAAGCTCTCCCCAAGTAATGGCAATCCCATTGAACCTGGTGGAAGTTCTCCATTGCATTTGGGATTCCTCCACCTGTAAACCCAATGTGTTATGCTTATAAGAACTAAGGCTGCCATGCACAATGCCCACATCTTGCCAAACTCTCACTCTGATAGTTCTAAAAGTGAGAAGGTTGAGAGAGAGGAGATGTTTATATAAAGGCAGGCCACAACTTTTTTTAACTACAAGAAAAACTTGTATTAATTCATGACCTGAAAAAGAGAGAAAGAGAACAATAATTGCTGTATAATATTTGTTTCCTTTGTCTAGGATTTTGTACAAGGGCCCCAACAATAATTGCTGTATAATATTTGTTTCCTTTGTCTAGGATTTTGTACGTAACTTCTTATTGTAAATATTTCAATGGTTTAGATGATGACACGTGTCAATAGATTAAAGCCTGATATTGTTAAAAAAATATAATTAGGCAGTTAAGCATTTAGTATTGCTATTAGTGCAGCTGCGTGTGAAGAGTGTATGTGCTAGACAGTCTGTAACGAACTCTCAGTTGTGCGAAGTGTGAATCACAACAAACAACTCTATGTAGAAATTCTCTCTCTTTCTCTCTTCTCTAATCTTCTTCCTCTGCTTCATTTTATTCTTGATTTCTGCAGAATATATGAAAACATTAATTCATGTTTACACTTATCTATCCTTTGGCTGAAGAAATGGACAGAGATGTTGGACTTCAGCGTGACTGATTATTTTTACTGTAACTCAGAAGACTTTGAGTGGGAAAATATGGATTATTCACTAGTAACTACCTGTAGCATATCCACAAGTATCTACTAGTGGCATTAGAGCAACTCTACTCTTAGGGCGATAATTGGCCCAGTTATTGGGCTATTGGCAAATATTGCCTTAATGATCAGTAATTGCTCGAGGGCATCTCTATCCTTTAAAAAAATTGCCCCGGCAATTCACATGAACAAATTCTTTAAAAAATAATTAAAAAAAACAATTTATTTTATAATAAAAATTTCTCTTTTCTAGAACCATCCCTCACTCCCTTCTTTTCTCCCCTGATTCCTCCGTCCTTCGTTTTCTCGGTGACGACGCAGAGATTGCAAACAGAGTGCCGCTTGCACTTCCACCACGACGCACGTCCGAGTTCATCGCCTTTTGCTTAGGCCAAACCGCGTCACTAGCCGCCTAGAATATCGGTTATAATTAAAAGAAAAAAAAAAGGAAACCATTCGAATTTGCTGCCTAGTATAAGGCAAATAACAGAGCCACTTGCCTTTAACGCATATGAGTATTATGTTGGACCACATGGGCAAATTTGTCCTTTCATCTAATTATATCTTTACAACATTAGTCGCCTTAGACCATCTCCAATGGTGGCTTATATCCTAAATTTTCCCTTCCCCCCCCAAATTCACTCCAACCCAAAACCTAAACCAAACCTAAAACCTAAAACTTAAAATGAAGGCAAATATAGGTCACAAATTTAGCTCACAAAAGCTGCTGGGACCCACGGATGAGAGTGAAAAGTGGGCCTTGTCCTGTAGCCAACGGCTACTTTTCTTCATCGGGTGGTGGTGGTAATTGGACCGTTGGTTAATCCAATGGTCCACATTCAAATTTTTTTGTTTTATATTTATATATTTATTGAATCCAACGGCTTAAATCGAATATAATCAAATCTAACGGTAAAAAAAAGATCTAACGGTCCAAATTTAAATCCAATGGCTAGAATAATCTTAAAATTTATTGGAATTTAAATATTTTTTTCCAACGGCTAGAATAATTTTTTTTTTAAAAGTTTATGTGGTTTATCATGATTTTTATGTATTGATTTAGTGATTTTTCAAAATTTATCGGAATTTAAATATTTTTAGGTTAAAATGTTCATAAAATTAATTTAGGATAGTCTACATAATTTTTTTTTTAAAAAAAGTTAATTTAAAAAAAATAGCCTTAATTTATTTTTTGATAATCTGGGGCTAAAATTTTAGGCCAAAAGGGTTGGAGTAGAAAAGCTGTTTCTGGGCTAAAACCTAAATTTTCTAGGCTAAATATTTTTAGGTTTAGGTCAGGATTGGAGATAGTCTAAGACCACATAATGATTGCTGTAGAAACAAAAGAATTCTCAAATTATCGGTTCTAAAATAAGACATAATCCAATTATATCATCACATGATTTGCCACAAATATTTCTTTCGCTTAATGCCAAGAGAATCAAGGACCTTGGGTTTCTATGTGTTGTGCTTCCCTAAAACGTACATTAACAACCTTAGGACCACCTCAATTCTATTAATTTGGTGAGAAATTCATTTAGGGTAATGTTAGCGAGACTAAATATGTAGACTAAATTTTGTAAACTAATGACATAAAAGTTGATGATTGGATTATTACTTAAGTGTTTTAACGTGCTTATTTTTTATTTGTGACACGTCATTTAGTTTACAAATTTAGTCTACCTACTAGCATTACTCATCAGTTTATAGATAAAAGTATTAATTACAAAGATATTTTATTTTTATTTTTTGTTTTTGCATAACAGTTAACATGTATTATCCTTATTCGCTTATGAAGATTCGATGAATTATATTTATCATTTAAGTGACCAAGTTAAGATTCAAAGTATTATCTCTATATTTAACCTATTAAGAGTTTATTGAATTATAATTAGCATAAAGATCCATGTGTTCAATTTATTTAAAACAAGTGCATACACTGTATATTGAATCAAAGCAAAGCAGATTGGTTTTATCATCTAACTATTTAAGAGTACGCTGATTGGTGTGTCATGTTAATTTAAAGAAGGACACTAAAATCATGGAGCGAGACATTCACTAAATGCAAAAAAACTGTAATGGTTTAGAAGAAGCAAGAATTCTCATTTTTGAAACAATAGGGTACTCATTGACGCAAGAATTAGAATAGAAGAAAAATCTTTTAATTAACTTTTATGTCTTTTGGGGGAAAAAGAGTTATAGGTTCGCAGCTAGAATAATGAAATTTTAACTTTGAAATTCTATTTGGCATCTTGAAGGATGAGGATGTTGATTGGGGTATAAAAGTTGAACTCATGAAATTTCAACAATTTGGAAATATCAACACTATTTAAGTTGAACTAATCAAATCTCAACAATTTTAGAAAAATCAGCTAATGTGTCAAGTTAATTTAAAGAACGACGTTGAAATCATGGAGTGAGACATTCATTAAAAGCAAAAGAAAAATGTAATGGTTTAGAAAAAGCAAGAATTCTCATTTTCTAAATGGTAGGGTACTAATTGAATTATTAACATCTCTTTCAGAGTATTGAAATACGTCTCAAGTTTAATCCATACCTCCACCAAAATCAAATAAGAAAATGTTGGTTACACAATGATCTGTATGAGGAAATAAATAAACTACTAGAAATGATATTGTTGACAACTGTTGAATTCTTTTTGTAGTTAGGGTTTTCTTCTTTAACCCACTACATTTTTCCCTTTTTAATGTAGGCTATGAACATCATTTATAATCAAAAGAGAAAAAAAAGGAAGGACACTACTGAATTTTCTTCAAAGTCTAGATCGTAGTTCCTTTCCAGCTTCCCATGAGGCTTCGCTCCTGCATTAGAGCATCTTAAGTGGGGGCTTTATCTTCTATGAGGCTACTACATTTCAAGCCTTAGTAAGAAATTTTATTCCCAATGAGCCGAAAAATGGGGTAGATCCACCACTGGAGCTAGCAACTTCTTTTCTTAGGTAGCATAAAATTGGGTACATTTAGCCCCAAAAAATAATGGGTCCGACAAAAAAAAGTAGCAACCAATGTGAGCAAAAGTCTAGGGTAAATTACATTTTGCACTCTCAATTTTGGGTGCAATTGCAATCTCATCCCCAGTGAGGGGCTCTACATGGGGCTGGAAAAGTGGTAGATATAGCCCATTTTAGAGCTCAGAGGAATCTTTGGTGCTTTATAAAATAATTTCTCCCAATGAGGGGCTATATCTTTCGGGCTCTATATGGGGCTATATATATTTATTTATGTAGTAATTTGATTAAGCCATGATTTTTTTTTTTGTGTTAGCTTTTCTTAAGTTGATTTTTGGACGTGCTATCTTAATTTTTTTTTTATGAACCCTTCAACCTAAAAAGTTCAAATTGTGACAAAGTTAGATTTCATCACTTATAAATCGTTCGTTGGATTATATTCTTTTATCTCAAACTCATCCGTTGAAAGAAACAAACCTACTTCGCCTTCTGAAATAATTTGATTTTGACGTATAACACAACAATTTACCTAGGACCAATTGGTAAATTAGGATCATACAATTTTGAAAATAAATTATTTGAAAATTTCACCCATCAATGCTCATGAACATTAAATCAATTTGAAATTTCAATTCTTATGGAATTTAAAACAATCATTAATTAGCCAAATTGCAAGAAAAATAAGTAAGAAAAAAGAATTAAAATAATAATAAAAGGAGAGTACAAGTGTATTTGCAAGTGGATGGAGATTGATAGAGTTTTGCTCACATGGGTTGCTACTTTTTTTGTGAAACCCACTGTTTTTTGGGGCTAGATGTAGCCCAATTTTATGCTACACAAGAAAGGAAGTTGCTAGCCCCGTAGTAGTCTCATGGAGGATAAAGCCTCCATTGGGAATGCTCTTAAAACATTTCAATCTTATACATTTACTTATCATTTCATTTCAATATCATACATCCGTTAAATATTATGTCAATTTATCTGTCACTTTTTGATGCGGACCAAAAAAAAAAGAAAAAAAAACCTAATTGTTTAAAATATTAAAAAACTACAAAAACAATTTAAAATAAAAATCTAAATCCCTACTATCAAAAATAAAAATCTAAATCCTCCAGCACCACCACCAACCCACCTACGAAACCCTAGTCGTAGAGAAACGCGCACAGCTTCCATCTCTCTATTGGCATAGCCCCATCTACGATCAGCCATGGGGCAAATTTCACGGATCGTTAGCACATGCCTTCATCCCTTCACGCAAGGACCTGCAACCAGATCTCGACCTGCTACTGAAACCCAGACCATAAATCTGATTGAAGCCCAAACCACCGCCGCACCTGATTGATTCTGAACCATGAATCTGTTCTGAACCATCGCCACGATATTA